TTGATTGAGGATTCGAGCGCGGAATTATGCAGCTGCCCGAAAGATGGTCATTAGTGGGCGAACAAAACGGCCAATACATAATTGATTAATTATAAGTCCTGATATAAATAAATCATCTTTGAAAATATTGAAAAAAAACGACATGTCTTTCTTGCCAACCCAATAGATTAAAAGCAGGCGATCGAGAGTTCATAGAGTGTATGTTCGTTTTGCATGTTCGATCGGTCTTTGATATGTTCGAGCGCCCGTTTGCATGTTCGATGTTTTTCTTCTCGAAATATTAATATCCGATTCTGTCCGCTGGCCAAGATTTTTTTCGCTTGCCTTAGCACGCAGACTTTTTTTTTATTTTAATAATGGCCAAAGGCGTTTCGGGAGGAGGCGGCAAGAACACCACCCCAATTGCTGGCGAGCGAGAGGCCGGAGGATTCGTATTCCTGCGTGCGCCAACTCCCCCGACAACACAAAATAGCCTAAAAAATATTGCTCATAACTGTACTCGTTACACAGGGATGACAGACTTTTGCCATTGTTATGTATAATAATGCTGTTTAATATTATGGTAGGAAGGTTTACTGGTCAGTTTGGGTATTCTACAATCATTTTAGGGCACATTAAACCGTGTCTTGGTTGTTTCTTTTTCTCTTCAGCTTCTAGTACTGTTATCATTTTTCCTGATTGAAATATGATAGGCGTGGCAGCCTCTGGAGTGTTGTTTGTTGTGCAGTTCTATAGTTACCAGCATTGATTCTACACCATTAGGCAATTGTGTATTTCCAGTCACAGTTGGCAGTACTTTCTGGTTTAGTGTTTGTTGCCGCAGCTAGGGGCTGAGGCGTAAGTCTTGTTGTTGTAACTTAACGCCTGTGCAAAAGAAACTCCCGGGAACGTGGTCAATAGTATGTATGGAGAATTTTTTGGAGTCATAGGATTTCGAGCTGCACTTATATGTTGGCGTAGACGACTTTTCAACTCTTTATGGACAGGACAACCTCTTCAATTTTCAGCGTGGTTTCCCCCACAATTACTAGATTTTTTGACAGAATGGTTCTCCTTGTTTATTGGACAGGCTTCAGTTGAGTGTGCACGTAAAGTCCAGTAAGTTTTCGTATGACCGTATTCCTGACAATTCATACATTGCACTGCCCCATTCCGCTTGTGGGGCTACTCAACGGTGATCCTACGATGCAGCAGATTTTCAATCTTATAGAAAGAGTGAACTTCATTGTTTTTTAATTTCATAGTTTCCGGGTCCAACTCTACCTTGAACATTGGCTGCAGAACTTTTTTTTTTTTTTAATATTTTCATAGCTTGTTTGACATTAAAGCCCTTTTCTTTAAGTCCAGCTGTGATCTCATATATAGGGACTGCTGCTTCGATTCCTTTAATAACTACTTGTGGTAGGTGGAGTAATTTATTTTTATGTTGTCGTGGTGTTTCGCCACTGATCGGTAGTCTTGTTCGTTGTCCACTTATATTTTTGTTTCGTTTATGATAACCCTTTTTAAGGACTTAACATAGAATATGTTTTTCTCGAATTTGTTCAGTTATTTTTTGACCAATTCAGAAAAACTTACTTGGCGTACAAAATTGGTGGTGGCCTGTTACCACTTGGGTCACTCAGAATAGAAAATCGATTTCTTGTTAGCGCATTGTTTGGTACAGTGGCTTCAACTTTCTTCGTGACTTTTGATGCATTTGTTTTTTTCGCTGCTTGTGTGCTTAATTTTCTTTTAATTTGCACGTACCGATCGATTCCTGTTTGAATTAACGATCCGTTAACATGTTTAGTATTTTTGGGTTGGGTATTGGCTAATTGTCAGTAAGGACTGACGAAACAGAAACTGCTGTTGATGTGGTTGTTGTAGTCGTTAGTGTCGATGTCACCGTCTTAAACGATGGCATTGTGCTGGTCGTTGTTGTTATCAGCAGATCGATGGTTATGTTGTAGGGGTCGGGGGATGGGATGGCATTGGTTACTCCACGGCTTTTTTTGTGACGCGCCGCTTGGACAGCGACATTGTTGCAGTCCTCACATGCAATGTTGCAGTTGTTGTCGGTTCTAACTCTTCCGCTCTTATGGAGAAGTAAGCATTGTTTCTGATTGACGAGAGCCGACGTTCGTCTTTTTGTTGTTGCCAAGCCTTGCTCACTATAGCTCTTCGTTATAGAGCTGGTGCTCTTAAGCGTTGGCTTTGTTTATTGTTGCTTATTTTTAGTTGTTTGAACACTTCTTGATAAATACCATAGGCCACATGAGCACATCATTTTAGTTACATGGCGGAGCGATATAAAAACACGTCTGTTGTCATTGACAGTGGAGCAGCATCTTCGAAAATCTTTTCCTTTCTACCGCCTTGTCGGTCTTCGACTTTAAATTCTCCATTCTTAAAACGCTAAAACCAAACGCGACATTTTTACTTACTGAATGCATTCGATGAGCACAACCGAAGAGATTACCGAAAAGCTTTTTCGAACTTTGTTCGGTGGACCCAATTGCAAGTAACCTGCTCTATACTGAAGTACCTTCCTATTTGATTGGAACTATAACAAGTTCCAAAGTAGAAAGAACGGTAGTGATAACCAAGTTTTCCTGGTGGTAAAAAGGACAATGCTAAACCATACAACGAAACTATTAAAAGTTTTTAGCTACGACTACTTCTTCATAATGTACGGACCCCAACCTCATTCAATGATAAGACTGTGATACAAGACTGTCCGCCACGTGACTTTCAATACAACCCCAGCAGTCCCGTCTGCCAATATCCTTCAGTTGCCACAATGAAGGGCAGCCAGTCAAGCAAGTGCATAGAAGCCACTATACTCTGCTACAACACCCAGAACTTCAATCACAGCAACTAGCTCTTTACCAGTAATAAACCGCGATTTAACGGACCCTAAAACATCATAAAAGTCAATAGTCCTAGGAACTTTATGCCAGTCACGCAGGCCAAAATGTCGGAGGTAGGGAGGACCCAAATTCATCTGAGTCAACCACCTTTCACAGCTTCAACAATAGTTAAAAATTAACATTATGGAGTATATATAGTATCCTTAGTCCGGCACCGGAGTGAGATTGTGTGGAGAGGGAATATAATTTTAAAGACGGCCAGACAAACGTCTTGTCAGTACACCGACTTTGGTGTACCCGCTGTTTTCCGGGGTTGCTTATTAGCTTGCGCTTATTCGCAACTAACCTTGTAAAAATCCGTTCGCTATCCGCAATCTGCGACCCGCCTGGTGGCCTCAAGTAAGCCCCCTCTTGAAAATCTCACTAGTTCTCAAGGAATAGGAAACAGATTGGTTTAAATACTTAATGGCTAAGCTAAGCTATAGGCTCAGTTGAAGCACTAGTGTCTGTTATGTTACTAGCTGCACAACACTCCACACCTATTATATCGGCTTGTAATTTAAATTCTAATTCTAGCAGCAGTCGAGCTTTTGGGCAGATCAACGAACTGCTGCGCATTAAGAGAAGATTTCGGAAGGAGTGGCAAGCCCACTGATTACCTGCCCGAAGGAGCGGCTAAAAAAGCGAAAACACACGATTTAATCTCCCCTAAAATGATTATAGAATTGCCGAGCTGTGCAGTAAATCTTCTCACCACGATATTAAATAGCATGATGAAATGGGGCTGTTATCCACAACAATGGAAAAGTCTGTCATCACATGATCCATAAAGCCGGAAAGAACAAGTACCAGTCTTCATCATAAGGGCCAATCAGACTACTTCTGTGCCTATCAAAGATATTAAAAAAGCTGCTCCTGGACCGTATAAAGCAACACCCAAAATCCCATAATGCCATCCCAACCCACCAATTCCGCGGGAAACACGGAACCATTGAACAAGTAAGCCAAATAACCTACATTTGAAATTGGAGAGAATTGTTCCGCAGTCTTTCTGGATGTCGCCCAGGCCTCCGACCGCGTTTGGTTAGACGGCTTGATTTATAAAATTCAAAATTTGCTACAACAGAACACCCATAAAATAGTGGAGTCATATCTTGTGCATAGAAGTTTCTCAGTACGATGTAAAGATTACCTCTCCGAAAACCATCTAACTAAAGCTGGAGTACCTCAAGGTAGCGTGCACAGACAAACGCTGTTAATAATTTACACAGCCGACCTTCCGAAAACCAGTCTTACAACAACCTCAACATTTGCTGATGATACTGCCATTCTAAGTCGATCTAAGATTATCAGCTCATCTCGGGGTTTTGAAAATGACTAGCAGATTGGAGCATATAGGTTAACGAGCAAAAGTGCAAACACGTCACCTTTACCCTAAATAGACAAACTTGCCCCCCCCACAACTGGATAGACGCCTTACTTGGAAAAGGCACATTGAAGCCAAGAAAACACAATTAAAATTAAAAGCAAGTACCCTACACTGGTTAATAAATGCACGCCCTCCGCTAAAATTGGAATACCTCTCCTTCTGTACAATTCAGTTCTCAAACCAATTTAGAAATATGGCGCCGAGCTTTGGGGGATCGCAAAGATACTGAGAACTTTAATTGGTGCACCATGGTACATACGGAATGAAAACATTCACAGAGACATAAACGTGGGATCTGGTAAAGAGGAAATCGACAATGTAAAGGCAAAGTAAACGATCAAGCTGCAGGCTTATCCAATAGACTTGGGCGGTTTTTAACCTGGAACACTGCCACGACTCCGGTGAAGAGATCACCGCACCCAGCAACAATAGCTTGGGCCGTTATTCCAAAAAAAATTTAATGTTAACTAATTAAATATATGTATTAGGCCAGGATTTGAATACTTGTCGTCAGTCTCGAAGAGAAAAGATTCGATAAATAAATAAACCATCATTATAGAAATCTCTACGAACAATTTTTGCTTCAATATGATTTTATTTAATCAAAAGAGATTTATTCATGGCTGTTAAAGACAAAACCTTTTATAAGCCCAAAATCAGGGGGTCTGGTTCCATAAGCCACCGTGCTTAGTTTATAAATACTCAAAAAATACGTGGTATTATCCCATCAAGCAATACACGATCTGAAACAAAGCATTATATTATAGATTTTTTTGGAGCATTGTCGGCCCTGTAAGAAATAAATTGTTCAGAGAGCTACCAGACGTCGTGTTAGCCAAGCCATTTATGCGACTCGAAGCTCTTTGGGTATTTTTTCATGCTTATGTTTGTACATAATGGTAGGACAAGAGAGTCGTGTGCCATAAGTTTATCTATCGTCGTCTATCGATATAGATCGTTTGACTGCATATTTGTATTAATCGAAAATTAAATTCTTGCATCTGGCTTCAAAGTAGTATTGTTACAAAAGTTTCTTTAACTTAAGATTTATTTAGGAAAATTATTGAAAACGAATAAAATAGTAATTCTCGGTTTCTAGTTTTCTTTTATATAGCTATTCAACCTAGTAATGACAAAAAAAAAATTATCACGTTTAAAGCAATATTAAATACTTCCCTGGTGGAGTTGTTATTCTCTTCCCCCATTACCTTTAGTCTTGTAAAACGTAAAGGAGCATGATTTAAGCCCAAGAACCCAATAGTCTTGAAAAAATCAAAAGTTTATAAATGTATATTTACTTTAAAATTGCTGTTTGGTTAATAAGCTTTTTTACTAGCCAACAAACCAAACTGGGACCTAATAAACACGCACAAATTTAGGTTTATTTTAGATTTAATTATAATGTTTATTAAGTCGCACAGCACTTAGTTTGAGTTTTTACGAAATAGATCAGGCAGGCACGAGTTGCCTCTGATTTCAAAACGATAAAAGGTTCGAAGTAGATCAAGCAGACTCGAAGTAGTCTTTGATCAGAAATGCAAGTGAGCAAGAACTTGAGACGAATTGCCACGACGAACGACAGTTGACGACTCATAATTGATTTTAGGCTGCACTCGGCTGAAGGCCAAGCGCGGCGAATACATACATAGATGAAGATAATAGATAAAGAAAACATTGCTTCGCAGAGCAATTTACAAATTTAAGAGAGTTTTGTTTGGTGCTGCATAACCAAACATCCTCCCCCGTTGGAAGACACGGGGTTTCAACTTCATCTTGGATAGGCAGCACACATAATCTTCGGATAGCTCGTTTAATTGTCCCAGTTGCAGTTTTTAGGGCAGCTACACGGACAACTTTGTCTTCTCCGGCGATCAGCTCGACCACTCTAGCCAGTGGCCACTTAAGTGGAGGAAGGTTCTCGTCCTTCACTAAGACAACATCGTTGATCTTGAGATTTGGATGATTGGTGCGCCACTTAGCACGCTGTTGAAGAAGTGTTAGGTATTCTTCTCGCCAACGGGCCCAGAAAACTTGCTGATGGTAAGATATTCGCTGCCATCGATCCAATCGGTTGCAATTTAACAGTGTGACATCAGGCTCTGAAAACAACACCAGAGGAGCGGTGCCAAGAAAGTGTGCGGGAGTTAACACATCCAAGTCGGCTGGGTTCTCTGAAAGAGGAAGCAGAGGTCTAGAGTTGATTATCGCCCCAATGTGGCAAACTAGCGTGCGCAGCTCGTCAAACGATAATAGCGATGGGCCAACTGAACGATAGAAATGGAATTTGGCCGTTTTTACTGCAGCCTCCCAGAGGCCTCCAATGTGAGGCGAACGGGGAGGAATGAATCGCCACTCAATGTTATCCTCCAGACAGAATTCCTGCACGGAACGTATGTGGGGGTCGCACAGGAACAAACGTTTCAGCTCGGTCAGCTCGTTCTTGGCGCCAACAAAATTGGTTGCATTATCCGACCATATTCGAGCAGGCTTGCCCCTTGTTAGAATAAAGCGCTTCAACGCTCCAAGAAATGCTTGCGTCGACAAATCCTGAACAAGTTCCAAGTGCACCGCTTTCGTCGAAAAACATATGAAGATGCAGACATACGTTTTTACAGGAACCTTGCCTCGAACCCCAGTCCTGTAATGGAACGGACCACAGAAATCCAACCCTGTGACCATAAACGTCCACGTTGAAGAAACCCGGCTCTTTGGCAGATCAGCCATTACATGCTCAGCCAGTCGGGGTTTGGCTCTGAAGCAGATAATGCATTTATTGACCACAGTTGTGACAGTTTTGCGTCCTCCAATTGGCCAATACTGCAGACGAATGTGTGCAAGCAGAGATCGAGGTCCCGAATGGAGTTTGCGCCGATGAAAGTGCATGATAAGTGCGTGGGTTACTGGATGACTCCTCGGTAATATAATAGGATGCTGAGACTCAAAGGCCAATCCAGAATTCTTTAAACGACCACCAACACGCATTATGCCAAATTCATCTATGAACGGTGCAAGAGAAAAAATTTGACTTGAGGATTTAATTGAAAGTTTACCTTGCAGTCGTTTGTAGTCAGCTGCAAGGTTGTTCATCTGGATGGTGCGAAGGAGCAACTGCGTTCCAAGCTGAATATGCTCGACTGTAATTCCAGAGTGCCGGATGCGATGTCGAAATTTAAAGAAGTATGCAAATACATGGGTCAGCTTTTGCCAGGAATTGCTGAACTTGCATTGCAACGTCATGTCATTGGAAGGCGTGGTATGAGCCACGAGCGAATTTCTCATTTCTGGTAACGGAGTGATGGCAGAATGCGGGGCGGGCCAGTGAATTCTGTCATTGCACAGGAACGATGGACCTCTTGACCATAGCGATGACTCAAGCAGCTCGCTTGGAAGTGATCCCCTGACAAAATGTCAGCTGGGTTACAAAACGTGGGTACATATCGCCAATCCATTCCGTTGGTCAGCTCCTGTATCGAAGCAATTCGGTTTGCGGTGAAGACTTGGAACCGGGAGGGCTCATCCTTAATCCACGAAAGTACGACGGACGAGTCGGACCAGCAAAAGAACGGGCAAGAGAAAACGTTCATATCACGGACTTCTCGGATGAGTTGAGACAGCATCAGAGCGGCACAAAGTTCCAATTTGGGAATCGTAAGCGTCTTCAGCGGAGCCACACGAGACTTAGCACAAAGTAGCTGAGCCTCTCTACGACCTTGTGATGAAGACACAGCGTAGATACAGCCACCATACGCACTTATGCTGGCATCGCTGAAACCATGGAGCTCTATGATGCCGGCAGGCTGAACAGCTAAGCGAGGAAATTTCATTTGCTGGGTGCAAGCAATATCAGCTGTTAACTTCAGCCAAGACGAATTTAGCGCAGAGGGAAGGCTCTCATCACAATCCAATTTCTCCTTCCAAAGCTGCTGCAAAAAGATTTTTGCTTTGGTTATGACAGGGCAGATGAGGCCGAGGGGGTCATAGAAGCGGGCTATTGTGGACAGCATGGACCTCTTGCTAGGTTTTAAGATGCGCTGCATGGGAGAGAAAGAAAACATTAGAACGTCTGAAGTAGGATCCCAAGCGAGCCCCAGCGTTTTGGTAATGTCGCTTCCATCGTCGAACTTCAGGAATGTTTCCCTTTCTGGCTCGGGTGTTTCCTTAAGAACAACGGGGTCATTAGAGCACCATTTTCTCAGCTTGAACTGCCCTTTTCCAAGCAATTCCTGGGTTTGACGCATGATCTCTAAAACATCTTGAGCGGAGTTGCCACCAGTAATCAGATCATCAACGTAAAAATCCCGCTTGAGAATTTGGGAGCCAATGGGATACGAATTCTCCTCATCAATAGAAAGCTGATGCATGGCCCGGACAGATAGAAATGATGCAGGCTTGGTTCCATAAGTTACTGTATCCAGCCTGTAAACTTGTATCTCCTGGCTTGGTGAATCTCTCCAAAGAATGCACTGCAGAAAACTATCGGGCTCGGCAACTCGAACGCAACGATACATCTTGCAAATGTCACCAGTCAGGGCCACAGGAAACGTTCGGAACTGAAGCAGAGTCCGAAATAGTTTAGGCTGAATGGTAGGACCAGCCATAAGGACGTCATTCAAGGAAGATCCAGACGACGTTCGGGCAGACCCATCAAAAACTACACGCAATTTCGTTCTGGTGCTGTCCTTTTTGAAAACGCAATGATGGGGAAGATAATACTGGCAAAGACCAATCGAATCTTTGCTAACGAGTGACATGTGATTCAAGTCCAAATATTCACGAATGAAAGCCGAGTATTGAGACTTGAGCTGCGGGTGACGTTGAAGTTTATGTTCCAAATTCAAAAAACGACGATAAGCGTGAGCATAAGAATCTCCGAGCATATCCAAGCTATGCTTTAACGGAAGGCGAACAGAGTATGCTCCGGTAGCCAGGCGAGCAAAGTTGGTTTTGAAATGTTCCTCACATTCGAGCTCCTCTTTGGAAAATTTGCAAGCGTAATCAGGAACACTCTCTATTTCCCAAAAGCGTCGAAGTATTTCATCCAATGGCGACTCAACTTCTTCCACGGAAGATACAGACGTCTGAGCTGCAAGAGCCGATGATTCACGGTGTTCTGAGCCACCTCCTGCGACGACCCATCCTAGACGGGTTTTTTGCAGCAAAGGAAGACCAGGAGTGAGTTTTATTTGACCCACACAAAGAAGCTCAAAGAAAAGACTTGCTCCAATCAATAAGTCAATTTTTTGAGGTTTGTGGAAATCCGGATCGGCAAGCTGAAGGTTTGCTGGTATATTCCAGTTCTCCGGACTCATAGGCAGGCTAGGCTGGTTTCCCGTAATCGTTGGAGCAACTAAAGCAGAGATCCTGGTTGTATAATTTGAAGTTTGGGACTTCAAGCTAAATTGCACCGATACTCCATCGGAGTCGAATTTAGAATCTCCAAGTCCGGAGACAAGAGTAGACGATTTTTCTCTACGAAGCTGAAGTTGATGAGCAAATCGGGAAGTAATGATATGAAGCTGAGCACCACCATCAAGAAGTGCACGACATGGCACCCAGGTGCCAGAACGGCTTTGAATGTTTACAATCGCAGTGGCTAGTAGCACATAATCGGCTTGAGGATTTTGGGCGATCAGAGCGGTAGCATGCGAGGGAGCTGATGAGTTTGCGGAACTATGCGAAGTATCCAAAGTTGGAGATGGCGCAGCCTGAGGACAAGCAACATTATCACGAGGTTGTTTTGAAGATCCTGGTGACTCGAAATGTAACAAGCTGTGATGCTTGGATCCACAGACTCGACAAGAACTAGACGCACAATTTTTCATCTGATGGCCCTTTCTTAGACAATTTAGGCATAAGCCAAGTCTTTTCGCTCTCTGAAGACGAAGTTGAGGAGTTAAATGAGTAAGCGGATTGCAATTATAGACTGAATGGTTTGCGCTATTGCAACAAACACAACCATTGGCAGGCATATTGGTAGCAAGAAACGAGTTTTTATTACTAGAACTGTTTCTGCCCTTTACGATTTGAGGTTTACTTGCGTAAATTGTTGCAACATGCTCCACATTTTCCAATTTTAAGCAGCGCTTGTCCAAAAAATCCAAAAATTGTTGGCATGTCGGAACTTGATCAATTAATGCCGTTTCCTCCCATTTTGCCTGAGTCGAGGTGTCCAATTTCTGAAGCAAACTGTGGATGATGATGGATCCAGAAATTTGCTCAGCAGTTCCCATCGACTGCAATGAACGCAAATTTGTGTTGATTTTGTCCGAAAACTCCCGTAACCTCGCCGCTGTCGCATTCTCTACCTTCTGCATGCCCAAAATCTCTGCGATATGTGCCTGAAAAATAAGACGTTTGTTGTTAAAGCGTTTGTTGAGCAAATCCAGAGCAACAGCATAGTTATCATTGCAAATATCCAGCGAGCGAACAGAATCCAATGCGGAGAATTTCAGGCACGACTTCAAATGTTGGAGCTTTTCCACGGGCGAAAGATCAGGATCTTGATCGATGATGGTCGAAAACATGGAGAAAAAGTTGGCATATTCGGTGTAGCCACCACTAAATTCGGGCAATTTAATTTCCGGGAGACGAAGCCTTTTGTTAGGCTGACCAGCAGCGGAATCCATGGCGGGTTCCTGGCGCAACGTTGAGCACGGCAAACTGGCCACCTTACGCTTACCAATCTCCTGGAGCACAATTGATTTTGCGGATAAAATCAATTCCTCAAATTCATCCTGCAGCGGACTACCGATTTCATCGTAGTCAAGCTCTTCGAGAGACCCATGAGCCAGGTTAAACGAGACTTCGGTTTTATTCAGCAACTCCAGTCGCAAACTAAGTTCTTCTTCAGCCATCAGGGAAATTCGATCGAAGGTCAATGAACTTTCAATGCTTTGCGCATGCATGAAAATTGACTGAGATTTCCTTTTATAAAACTGCGCCTTGTCGATGTTGACAAGAGTAGTTTCCGTTGACATTTTTAGCCGAAAATTTATTTATAAAACAAAGTTCAAATAATTGCAATTCGCGACGAAGAGGTTATGGCACAGTTTTGAAGCTTTGACAGTTTTGAAGGCACTGGCGCCAAATTGCAAGCTTAAATCGACCACGAGAAGTAAATGCTGGCTTCTCTTCTGCTAGCATTAAAACCAAAAACAACCATCAGCTGCAGATCAACGAACTTGCGAAAAACGTTTGACAAGCGAGAGCCAGAGCGAGAGCGAGATTGAGAGAGCGATACCGTACGAACCGATGCGAGAGCGAGATGCGAAATTATGTGTACATAAATATAAACGCATGTGCAAAACCAACCCTTTTTGCGCAGGTTAATTTTATACATTTATATTTTCCAAAATGATTAACTAAATGTTTCGATCACGTCGGGGTCACCAAAATGTTTGGCTAATAAGCTTTTTTACTAGCCAACAAACCAAATTGGGACCTAATAAACACGCACAAATTTAGGTTTATTTTAGATTTAATTATAATGTTTATTAAGTCGCACAGCACTTAGTTTGAGTTTTTACGAAATAGATCAGGCAGGCACGAGTTGCCTCTGATTTCAAAACGATAAAAGGTTCGAAGTAGATCAAGCAGACTCGAAGTAGTCTTTGATCAGAAATGCAAGTGAGCAAGAACTTGAGACGAATTGCCACGACGAACGACAGTTGACGACTCATAATTGATTTTAGGCAGCACTCGGCTGAAGGCCAAGCGCGGCGAATACATACATAGATGAAGATAATAGATAAAGAAAACATTGCTTCGCAGAGCAATTTACAAATTTAAGAGAGTTTTGTTTGGTGCTGCATAACCAAACAATTGCCTTACAATTTTTTATAATCATACAAAGAGAAATATAGATTTCATATATAATTACTTGTGACAGACTTACTGAAAGGCGCAACCGCCGGGAACGCAAATCTTCTTTCTCCAAGAAATCATATTCTTCATACACATCCATATCATCATCGTCGTCCAAATCTTTAAACATGTAATAATCACCTGTGCGAACTGCATGAGGATGTAGACGGAGATCCCGGCGTTTTGGTTGAGGTGAACGGGTAAAATACGTGTTCTTGAGTTCTACGTTTTTGGCTGAGCGCCCATAGTTATTGTCATCAAGTCTAGTTTTTTCATCTGCGATATAGTTTACATGAATGGAGTTTCTGGAAGGTGCTTCAGGAAATGCTTCTAGTCCTAACAATTCTGCAAAAAAAAAAAAAAAAACATTAATATGCCCTAAAGAGTGAGTAGGCAACTACAATTTCTTTAACCTATTACATTTAATAAAGTTCACTTTTTTAAACTTTAAAAATTAAGAGTAAAAGTAAACCGATTATTGTAGTATTATAAAAATTACTTTGACGAACGTCGGTTCTCGTCGTCGTTACTTCTCCATAAGATAGAAAGAGTTATCGGAACCAACAACAACTGCTACACTCTGAGCGAAAACAGAGGAAGCACGTTCGCTCTCCCCCGCTTTATTGTATCCAATCGGCCCAGCACTACAGCCGTGAAATACCCAAATGCCCTAGTCCCCCGACCCCTACAATATAACGATTACAACAAACACGACAACAACCACAGTCAATGTTTCGGCAGTTCTCACTGGCATGCTACCTTTTACCTAATCAAAAAATACGAAAAAAATTAGGGGATCATCAAATTCAAACTGGAATCGATTGATTCGTGCAAATTACAAAAAATATAAATTTAAAAAAAAATCAAAAAAGACAAATTTTTAAAACTTAAGCAGGCGGACGTTGTTTTCATATCACTTTGCCAGTGCACAGTGGATCTGCCCGCATGAAAGAGCGGCCAAAAATACTAATAATGGCCATAGCGTGCATAGGAAAAATGGGACACATCCTATAGCTCACATAGGAACAATCGATACAAAACAAAAAAATATATGTTTAATATAATTTATTAAGATTTTATTATTTATACACATAAAAGTAATATATTAAGACAGAATGGAATAGATTTTTCATATTTAAATATATTATCAAAAAACTAAAATAAAAATCAACAAACAAAATATTAAGGAAACTATAAAGTATCGTCAAGTAATTCATACACAGTTCTAATGTAAAGTGTTGCAATTGTTTTTCAGAGGTTCTCAACTCTAAAATAATATAGCCGTTGTTTTCAATGCTGGCTTGCACATCGGAAATCAATTTCTTTAGTTTTTGTGCGTTGATTCCATTTTCAGTGGACCACATATTAAAAATATAAAGACGTGAAAGTACACACTTTTGCGATGTACCTACCAAAATCAAATATAATTCAAAAGGAAAAGATAAACTAAATTTTAATAGTTATTTATAAATTAAAAGTTTTGCAAAAACTGCGAATGACGAAGACAAAGCAACAACGCAACAGCACATTAGGCAAAGAGTCACCTTTAACTGCTTTGATATTTTTACTAGTAAACACACATCTGCAAGTTTCTACAGCTAATTTTAAAACATTTAACACCTTAAAAGTAAGACAAACACAATGACATACATACCAATTTCTGGACTTTCTTGAAACACAACTTTAACTAAACATAAAGAAGACTTTCACAAAAACACAAAAAAAAAAGGGTTAGCGGATCAAATAAGTTTTACGAAAAAATTTTGGCAAGAAACTTAACTACAGTTCGTTTCATTTGGATAGGACACCTAGCAACTTTTATGGTTAATCGCTCGTAGCGATGACAAAAATCGTTGAAAGCTAAATTTTTTTTTAAGTTATAGTCTCTGTTCTATTGTGATTCTAAAATGCAGTTACATTTTTTCATTATTGCTTTCCCCACCTTTTTATTTGAGTTTTTGCACTGCTGCATGGTTTTTTGCATGCTGAAAATCGTTTCATTTGGATAGGACACTTGTCAGTAATCACTTGTGTACAGTGCGCAGTTTGTTTAAAACTTTTTTTTTTTCAATCTTATGCTATTATTGATCAAATGAAACTAAAATAGGCCTTGGATCGGCACTCCAGGATAAAGATGGGAAAATTATGGGGGAAAATTGATGCATATTTGGACTCAGGCCTTAATGTGACCCAAATCGCCACGAAAATAAAAAAAATCGCGAAATGTTGTACACAATTTATTAACAGATAATGAAAACTATAAAAAAAATTATAAAGGGCTCCAAAAAACAAAGTTAAACGTTCGAGATAAGCGGCTTCTAGTGAAAAAGGCCTCCAATTTCCCCATGTCCTGCCCCGTTTTGGCTCATTATGAGGCCAACAAGGCGTCTAAAACCCCATTTGGCGGACTTTACACACTTGCTAACACTTGGGGCCATCAAAAATGGCAAGTTCTCCAAGAATCACAGAGATCCATCGTCAGGCGCGGCACAATTTTGGAAAATACAACTTTAAAACGAATTGGCGCTCAGTAAGCTATTCTTAAAGGCTCCTGCTAAGCTTTATTTTAATATTTTTTAATGTTTGGATTATATTTGGATGGCCCGGATGGGCTCAAGTTAAGTTTTTTTCATCGAAAAATATAATCCAAACATTAAAAAATATTAAAATTGTAGCTTTCAACGATTTTTGTCATCGCTACGAGCGATTAACCATAAAAGTTGCTAGGTGTCCTATTCAAATGAAACGAACTGTATTAATATCTCGATTTAAAGCATGGTAAATACTTTAAATTTTAAAATTCATTTCAATTAAAAACACTCAAGCTAATGTTTGAAGAGATCAAGGTCGATTTTAACTAGACAAACAACTGCCTGAGCGCAGGCTCGTTGCCAAAATGAGCTCGTGTAGCTGATTTCAAAGCTATTTTTAAAAAGTAGGGGAATGTTGTCAGGGTTGGGCCATGTTTTGACCTATGTCCATAACTTCTGAACCAATGACAATACAGAATAAGTTTATACATTTTTGGAAAGGATATCTATTTAATTTATTTTGCATATTTTTGCTACAAAAATCTTAAATATTACAACAAAAATCGAAAATACACGAATGAAATGTAAAAATTATGATGGCCCAAGCCTGACTACACAAGTGGCCCAACCCTGACGACATGCGGTATTAATCTATTATGGTATGATATAGCCAAACTATATCTATCAATGAAACTATATCTTAGTATTTTGTAATATAACAACTATATAACGTATTTTTATGCTCACTTAGCGGATGACATGTTGTAATCTTGTGTTATTCCACCTTTTCGGCCAGGTTAAAAAAACTTTTTCGAGCACTTTTTTTTCACGGAGCAACGACGCGTAGAAGAATGAAATCCCGAAATAAGTAGTCAAGTGGAAAGTTTCGAGTGATCGATAGAAGTTTCTAGACACCCACAAACAGATTGTTCTAGAACGAATATTCGAAATATTGAGATGGCCCGACCCTGACAACGGCCCAACCCTGACAACATTCCCCTACCGTTAGATTTCCAATAAAATCCGGTATGCCATCGAGAAGCTTAGACTTTTAAGAGATAATTTCTTTACATTTTGCTTAAATAATACGTCATCACATTTTTTGATTTTTGTTTTCTGGCGGATCCACTGTGCAGTGGTATAAAAACAGTATAATAAAATCATTTATTAAAGCGGGAAAAGCGCTCAGCGATATTACTAAAATTAAATACAACATAAAGGTGTGAGCAATTAATTACATACAATACGTGTAAGCGCAAGCTCTGTAAACCACAAACAAGAAAAGAAGGCTCGCCGAAGCTTATATACCCTTGCAGTCATAATATGCATTGAACAAAATACATAACGGCTAAGCAACATCTAAGCTATGCCGAAAATTCTATTAAGTTTCTATATTTTCGACGGTTTTTCATATGACAGCTATACGATGTTGTCGTGTGATTCTTATGAAATTTAATTCGAAATTCTAGAGACATTAGAAAACTCTATAATCCAAAAATTATGATGAAAAACAAAGATGTTATCATATATTTTCTGTTAATTCTATATAGATTTATTTTATTTTCCAATGGCAACTATATGAT